GAAAGAAGAGAAATCAAAACGAACCCCTATCAACTAGAAAACAAGACTTCCAGGTGGTTATTATTTTTTATATTTTTCGTTTTAAAAAAATAATTGTCTCTTATCTAATTAAAATTAATCAACATAATTAATTAATTAATTGTATTCTTAATTAATTGTCAAAGATAGTAGGCTTAATAAGCAAGTACAACCAGACAACCGTGCAAAACTAGCTTATTCAAACATACATTGAAACGAACGCTCTTATGAAACTTCTTACGTTCACACAGCCCAATTTTAAACAACCAATTCACAACTGCAATACAACACGCTATAAACCCAAAACAAAAAACCCAACACCTCCTTTCACCATCAACAACTAGCTAATCTTTCGCAAAAAATGACACGGCCCTCAGATGCGTCTCAAAGTGATAGAAGCCCGTCAGCTGCCAGGTGCCAACGTCAGCCCGACGTGTAGAGTCAGTTGCTACAACCAGAAGAAACAAACCAAAGTCATCCAACTGTCCAACTCGCCCTTTTGGAATGAACTCTTCTTCTTCAATTTCAACGATTCACCTGCTGAGCTCTTCGATGAACTTTTGTTGTTTGAGGTTCGTGATGGTGAAGATAAAGATGCTGATGGAAATGGTGGTGATGATTAAAAACGATGAATGATGATGATGACAGAAATGATGAATGATGATGATGACAAAAATGGTGAATGATGATGAAAAAAGATGAAGATCATTAGGATGAGATCTGATAATGACGCTAAATAGAATGAACCGTTGACGTTGGTTTTGTTGATATCTTTAATGATGATTGTTGTTTGAATGATGATATGGAAAAAATGATACCAACGATTCAAAATGTATTTTTACTTCAGGTTTATGACTCGAAGAAATTGAGAGCCGATTCGTTTATCGGTTCATTCAAAGTTTGTATGCACCCCTACTAGCCATTATTATTACAATTCATTATTACAATTCATTGAAATTAAAAACACATCTGTCGCACTGACATTTAAATGTCATTATCGTCAACATTAATCATATCTATCACCTTTTCACTCATCTTCATATGCCCACTCACTTGTTGTTTTGTTTATCGTTCATTCGTTTTTTTTTTATTTTACTCTTTCATTCATTTTGCCTTATTTCAATATTTCATTCCTTCGATTATTTTACTCCCGCAAAAAGTTCTCATTTTTTCATTTCCCCTCACTCTCATTTCTCACTCTCTCACCTTAGATTGAGGTGGGCATGATATATGACGAGCCGAACCATTGTTTCGTCAACAAATGGCTACTCCTCAGTGACCCGGAACAAGTCTCTGACGGTCACAAGGGCTACCTCAAAATATCTGTGGCTCTCTTGGGGCCCGGCGACGACCCACCCGTTCGTTTTGACATTTTTTTTATTTTTTTTAATTTTCAGTTTCATGTTTCCATTTTAATTTCTTGGTATCTTCATTTATTTATTTTGTTACGTTGTGGTGATGTGGTGATGATGATGCACTGATGTCGTGATGGTGATGTTGGATTATGATCGCGATTCACTTTTCATTTATTTATTATTCGTTTGCTTGTTTTGTGATGACGATCAGATGATGATGGGATTTTATTGAAGCTGTGAGGATTAAGTAGAAGTGATGTTGGTTGAGGACGATGATGATGAGTATGACGTCATTTTGTATAGCAGTGATGAAGGCTTTTTGGATAGAAAATTTATTTGCTTTATGTTTAGGCGTTTAAAAATTAAAAGCAATAAATAAAATTACAATTTTTATACAGTTATAAAAAAACGAGACACTCACACACAAACACACACACACACACACAGAAAGAGAGAGAGAAAAACACACACACACACATAATTTTATTCAACAATGTTGCAAAATTATTCAACAAAAAAGAAAGCTGTAACGTTGATTTTGTATGTCTTAATACAGATTAGCAGCGTAGGTACATAGCAAGCTATTCGACATCTGAATGTTTTTAAATTAAGATACAATTGTCACACATACACATTACATCTACCCATGCCATTGTGTTTGTCTAAGTAATGAAGTAAATAATCATAATAATAATCATAATTATAATCAATCATTGTTATTATTGTTATTATTATGGTTGGTAGTAGTAGTAGTAGTAGTTGTAGTAGTGATGGTAGTAGTATTAGTAGTAGTAGTAGTAGTAGCAGTAGTAGTAGTAGTAGTATTAGTAGTAGTAGTAGTAGTAGTAGTAGTAGTAGTATTAGTTGTTGTTGTTGTTATTGTAGAAGTAGTAGTAGTATTAGTAGTATTAGTAGTAGTTGTAGTAGTAGTAATGGTAGAAGTAGTAGTAGTAGTTATATTTTTCTGCAAACAATAAAAATAACAAAAACATTAATCCCATTAATCCCAACGGTATGAAACTATGTAAATTATCAACAGCAATATAGCATCATAATAATATCAAACATGAAATAATTTAATTATTATAATAATATTATGAATAATAATATGAATAATAATATGTATAATAATAGCAATAACAATAATTATTATTGTTATAATAATCGATTTTCATTGATCCTTAGAAGAAAATATTCACAAAGGTATATATTAATTACATTGCATTCACTTGCTACGTCATTGTATAGTATACTGTAGTTGCATTTTATTTCAGTATCCAGTATGATAGATACACGATATATTTTTGACTTTTTATCCAATGTTGTCATGTATATATGCCATTGCATGTGTGTGTGAATGTGTGTGCGTGTGTGTGTGTGCGTGTGCGTGCGTTTGTCTATATTTTTCTGTTTCATTTAAATACTTTTACATTGTTTTCAGTTGTTGATTGTTTTTCAACTTAACTTTTTATAATTTTGCATGTTGTTTTCAATAGCTTTCGGCCGATGGTTTTGTTAAAGTTTTAGTTGTTGTTCGAGTTGATGTTTATTCTTTCGAGGGCCATCATTTAAAATGCTATTTTAATGTTATGTTTTGTTTTATAGTAGTATAGCCTTCATTGCATGTATTAATTTTTGGCTCGTTGCTAAATGTTCTCAGTTTCAAAATTCTATGAAATTTTTAGATGAAACTTTAGTTTTTGGAGTTGATATGTTTTGTTGTTCTCATTTTAAATAACTTTCTCATATATCTTACTGATTCATTTTCATTATTTCGTTTTTGTGTCGGCTTTGTTTGAAAAATAATTGGATGAATCGTATGAAGTTATATTCGACACCAACCTCAACATACTAAACGATGATGGTACGATTAAGAAGATGACGACAATGGTGACGACGACGACGATGATGTTATTTACCTAGTTAGCTGATGCTCGATCGATCGACTCTGCTATTAACTGCATATCATAATGCATACATACATGTATTATATACACACGCACATTGCACACACAAACGCATATATACACACATACATTACACACCCACACCCACACACATACACACACACACATACAACACGCACACACACACATGCATAGCCTACCTTTTCATCATTCACAAATCTTCATTATCTACCATCATCTGTGTCATCATCATCTTCATCACTTTTAATTTTATTTTCACCGTTTTTGTTGTCATGTTTGTTCACTAAATTGTTTTCTCATTTCCTTTTATAACTGCAATTGTAAATATTTTTTGGTTACTTTCAACTAGCATTAACTATTTTTGTTAGGATTGTTACTAAATACTAATTTTTACGCAAACTTTGTGAGTAGCATTTGCAACTCTCTACTTAGTTCTACTTGCATATAATCTTCATTTGCTGATAATCATCGCTATTGTTTATGTTTCCTGCTATAGAAATTTTATTGTCACTTAACATTATTACTATACTTCATATTAGTATTATTGCTAACTAATACGACATTATTATCATGATTATTATTATTATTTTTATTACGGTTTTTATTATTATTTGTAGTATTGATATTATTTTATTATCATCGTCATCGTCCTTTTTTTTAGTCGTTTGAGTCCACGAAGTATGGAAGTACAACTGGTGATGATGATATCGAGGCGTAAGTGGTTATGATGATGGTTTTGTTGATGATGGTGATGGTTTTGTTGATAATGGTGATGGTTTTGTTGATGATGGTGATGATGAAGACGACGATGTAGTAATGATGATGATGATGAGAATGATGATGGTGATGATGAAGATTGTGATGATCACCATCACCATCTTCAGCAACCTCTTGAGACCAGCTGGACTAGTCCTGAGACCAGCCACCTTCAAATTGAAACTATTCTGTGCCGAGGATTTACCAAGGAGTAAGTGATGATGACGATGAGGACGATGATAATTGTGATGGTGCTGATAACGATCATGATGATAATGATGATGATGATGATGATTATGATGGTGATGATGATGATGATGAT